TAATTAGTTCATTATATAATAAATAATAAATGATCAATTTAAAGATATTTTTTAGACATGCGTGCTATCTGGGTAAATATAATAAAAATTAATGCGTTCATAACCTTACTTATTGTCGCTGTCTTACGCTATAGCGACACTTGGCGGGAATCCTAATGTCTAATTAACTCTACAGTCAGAATGCGCGGTATGTACAGTGCGGTCTTACAATACGGACAGGTCGCGGTATATACAAGGCGGTCTTACAATATGAACAGGTCGCGGGATATACAAACGGTGCTAGAGTCTATCAGGACGCGGAGACCGGAGCGGTCTTACTGGTTACGGTATATGTACAACGGTCTTACGAACTAACGGGTCGCGGTATTTAGACGGAAAGATACACGGAGACCAAAATGGTCTTACGGTGGAAACGGTCGCGGTATACACGAACGGTGCGCGGGGCGCGGTACGGTCTTACGAACTAGGAGTGCGCCGTCCCAGCAACCGGGAAGCCCGGCATAACCACGGGTAGCCCGTGACCTGGTGTAACGCTAGGTATCAGGGTGCGCCGTCCCAGCAACCGGGTAACCCGGCGTAACTACGGGTAGCCCGTAGCCTGGTGTAACGCGGTATAGGTTTCGGATCAGGAGTTGTACTAGGTAGGACTCGGGATCGGGAACTGGTAACGCTACGCTCGCCGGAGCGCCTTATATACCGGCGGCCGGCCTCCCACTCACGCGAATCGGTGCGCGGTGGGGCGGCCCCACGGTGGGGCCGTGACACGGGTGTGGGAGCTTAGGGGCGCCAATGGCGCCGAGCCTCAGAATTGCGCGTGGTGGAACGGCCCGCTAGGCCGTTAGTAACGGTATCGTTACAAACTTTCGAGATATTCTTCACATTCATATCCTAAATTTATATCATTTAAAGATTTATGGTTTTCTTTTTCAGAAAATTTAAAATCATTACATACATTTTTTTACAAGCTCTGGTTTCAAAAAATGTTTGGAAATTCTTATTAAAAGTTCCAATGACTTTGGCTGCAACAAGTGAACTCTTGTTTCCACAGCTTGAAAAATGCATTAAAAGAATTTAAAAAATTTAAAATATGCTTTAAAAATAACAAATATGCTTTTACATCCGGATTTTCCATCACAGATAATAAATTGTCTCCTGATTTAGAT